TTTATCACAATGAATACATAAAGCTGAGTCACATTTCCCATGAAAACCCATTTGTTACCCACAATAGGAACCCACATTGGAATAGCTCATTTATTTGAGCACGTGCAAAAAGGTGCACGTGACGAAGAAAAAGCGCCTTCAATTCTAGACGATACTATACAGAGGAGCACGGATCAATTAGCTCCAGCACCACAACAGCAAGAGGAACATAGGCGGCTGCGGCTCTACTGCCATGCTAAGGAAAAACGCCGTTTAAGCCACCAGGCGGTGCCAAATTTCCTTTGATAAAAAACAAATATCATGGTGAGCTTATGAAAATTTTCTTTCCAATTTTTCAGATAATTCTGCTCGCAATTTCACCTAAAGTTCCTAAAAATTTCAAGGAAAAATATTCATGACTTTCCTGAAAAATGAACATTTTATCGAAGTAAATTTGGCAACTCTCGAATGTTCATACGGCATTCTTCCTTAGCACGGCAGTCTAGACATCCATGCTTGGGTGTGCCAAATTTCGTTGTTTCCCGGACGAAGAAACGTGACTCTATCCCAAGGTTGCAAAACTGACTCAAACGATGCAATTTTTGAAAAGTATGCACCTGTTTAAAATTCGTCCAAAATTCTCCTGATTTCAGCATTAAATTAGAGGAAAAATCAGAGAAATTACTAGTTAGAAATGCCGTAGATTCTCCCGATAAAAATGAAATTTGCGAAGGAGAATTTGGCAATATTGAAATCTAGTTATGTTCTTTCGTGGGGCAAACGGCGATTCATTCGACCTCAGGTGGTGGGGGGTTGGGAGAAAACTTTCCCAGTAAGAGGAATATTTTCAATTTTTTTCTTGTCAAGAATCCAAACTTGATGCAGGAGATCACTTTTCTCACAGGTAACGTGACTGCAATGGGCCTGTTGCATGCAAGAGATACAGCCGTGCGAATAGACTTTTCAGAGGTTAAATGACACGAAAATTACGATGGTCACATTAAAAAAGTCTGAAATACACTCCTTACTGCGCAATTTGCGTTGTCAGGAACGCGTTTTTTCAAATTTCCCGCGTCTGGGGGCAGTTTTCTAACGGAAACAATTAACGGCAACTCGCGGCTATTTCCGGTCAACTAAAACTGACAACATAACCTAAAAATCGGAGCTCGTGATATCGTGAAATGAAATGTAGGAGGATTGCGTTGGATATTTAAAAGTTGATCGATTTGGATAGCGCATAAAGCGTATCTAGACCACTATAAGAGATCACGTTGGGTTTGTAAACAAACTGAAGGAAAAAATAATAATAACAACAACAACAACGACGACTCGGCATCTTCCGGAAATCACCGAGTCCGCCGTTTGCTCGTTTCCGGTGATTAGAAAATTGCCCCCAGACGCGGGAAATTTGAAAAAGCGCGCTCCTAACAGCGCAAATTGCGCAGTAAGAAGTGTATTTCAGACTTTTTTAATGTGACCATCGTAATTTCCGTGTCATTTAACCTTTAAAAAGTCTATTCACGCGGTTGTATCTCTTACATGCAACAGGCCCATTGTTTTCATAGGTTCTCAGTCCTCTAAGTTTGAAACTTTGTAAAAATCTACCTTAAAACTGCTGTTAACTTCTTAAACGGTTCAATTTAAGTACCGTTACAAGACTAAGTTCAGAATGTATGATTCTTCATTGAGAAAATAAAGTAAAAAATGAAGCCAAACTGTCTTTAAAATGGTCGGTAAGTTTCGCTCACGAAATTTTAGGAATGATTTTGTATTTTTATAGTACATTTTCATTCTGTACAAAATGTATGTGACAAATACCTCCGTTGGAATGATACTTTTGCGGTAAAAAATAGTACAATGTTTGTAAAACATGGCGATCTGCAAGAATTCCGTCAAGAAAAATGTCTAAAATTACCGAGCTTTTTTCAGTGTGAGAGTTATGCGCGTGGGCAAAATTGCCCAGACCGCATATTAGGATAAACATTTTTGCCCTGTCCTCGGACTGGCCACCCCCGCCCCCGCTGCCCGCAGTTTACAAACTGATTGATGTTTTTGCCCAGTCTGTGAAATGACCAGCATGCCAGTACACGAATTGGCCAGCAAAAAGTCTGAGAAGTGCGCCAAGAAGGCCAGTCCGTAATTGTAATTGTAACACCTACGCTAACCAGCGAATGTTTGTTACAAAAGCTAGACATAGTTGATCACGGCGTTTTGATACAACTATTCGTGTTCCGTAGATGCGCGTGTTGCATGTTGAAAAATTGAAGGCACTCACGCTTTACTTACCTCTCCAGAGATGCACGGGAGTATCCGTTCGTTGTAGCAGTTGTAGCACTCGCATGAAAGAGTTCCTCAGTAGGAATATTATTGTCATCTCCAGCATTTTACTACAAAAAAGTCTATTTTCCAACTTTTGAAATTAGTTTTGAGCAAATTCTAATGGATATTTTTTCTGAGTGACTTTTTTTTTTGTTAGTTTCATGCATCTCTCCTTTGAGAATACGAAATTTTATCGATTGGGTTTGTTTGCCACGTTAACGGCTTTATACTCCTGAATTTTTTTTTAAAAAAAATAGTTAGTTAGTTAGTTAAGTAAAATACATATACTATTTATATATAAATTCATATTCATACGCACGCTTCGCTGTTGAAGATCACCACAATTCAATCGAACTTATGCTCATTGTCAGTTGCTATGAAACATAGTCGTGCTAGTAAAATTACCGTCTTTTTCCGAAACACATGTGTCCCTTGCAGTTTGCTTCAAGGCCACGTGCATTATGAGAATGGACCACTAGACAAGGTACGAGTTAAAGGATTCTGATACATGTTTCTTAACCAAAATTTCACGTAAAACACAACTCGCGCAACAGAAATTACTGAAACCAACTCCTAACGAAGATATTAACGTTTTTGTTTCACATTGGTTACGAGGAATTTGAACTGCCCGCTCACGAGAAACTCAAAGCTCTACGTGAGTCAAATCGTGCACTACAACGGTTTCAACAAGCTTCTCAATCGAGCAATGTTCATTGCCCACCATGTGTTGTTCAAACTATAAACAATTTGCTATAGCTGAGCCTAAGCGTCAAGATTGAGGTTGCCAGATTTTTATATCGCAGAGACTGCAATGATAAACGTTTAGCGCGCGATGTGAATCACGTAGAGCATTGAGTTTTCATGAGCGGGTGGTTTCAATTCACTCATCAAAAATCATTAAATATCTTCGTAAGGAGTTGATTGCGGTAATTTTTGTTGTGCGCATCGTGTTCTACGTGAAATTTTAGTTACGAAACATGTATCAGAATGCTGAAATTCGTACCTTGTCTAGTGGTCCATTCATTATAATTTAATGAGATGTAATATTTTGATTTACAAGAAGGGGGGAGGGATGTTTATACTTTTTTTCTTGTGCTTTTCATGATTGCAGTGTATCTCGCAATACCTAATTGCGCCATTATCTCCCGTCATCTATCTGCATTTAGTTCTTTTCAAAATTTGTGAACGGAATCTTCAACCTCTTTGACAAACAGGGAGCAAAAGAGCCTCCATGTACCGTACATGATATACCCCAATTAGGTCATAGGTCACCAAGAGGTTGGCTTGTGCCAATGTTTTGTCACTTATGGACATCTATTTACACTGTACTGCAAGATCTGACTGACAGACTCCGTAATGCTACATTTCAAAGAGCAGAGTAAAAACAATTATTATCCCCATTGTGATAAAATCGCAGATTATGTTTTATATTTTTGAAAGACAACTAACAAAATCGTCATCTTGAAACTTTCTGTGACGTGTTTGAAAGAGTAAAGGAAATTAACAGAACGTTCAAGAAGAAATATAGGTTGAATTTTTTATGTAGAATAAATAAATGAGGCAATTAAATTTGAGGTGAGATTTGCAACGTTGCTATCGGAGATATGAATTTTTTTTACTCCAGACATCAATGCTTTTAATATTTCTTGTTTGTGCTTTGTTATAAAAAAAGATTTCTAGTGAAAAAAATTCCGATGGTTTTTTCCTGCCCCAGAATGCTTGTAATGTGTTCTCCTTAGGCTCCTTAAATTCCATTGTTCATAAGTTCATACTGTTTTTTTAAAAGATTTTTTGTCTGTAAGTTAACTATGTCCATGAGTTTTTCATTATTTTTTAAAAGTTTTTTAATAAAGTGAACTTCCTAGTAAGTTCACCGTTCCCCAACTGTTTCAACTGAAAAGAAAATACTCCGTGCCGATAACATGATCACTTTTGATGATCGGGTCTATTGCGCATACTTCAGACCGGATGTATTATACAGTTCATTGACCGCTGCCACTGCATCCATAATGCCCCACACTGTCCAGTAGCGAGGCGTGAATGATCGATTATCGACATTCCCCCCATTTGAAGCCGTGGTAAAGAATCGACTATTAAGGTGTTCGCTGCGAACACCCTGTTTATCGATCCTTTTCCATAGGTTTAAATGGCATAACAATCGATATATCGCGATTCACGCCACGCCACTGACACTGTCGTCCTCAGTAGAAACACCGTAGCTCCATTCTAGATTTTTTTTGGCTGTTTACTGACAAAAATTTTTAGTACCGAAAAACCAATGACCATTTATCCCGCTTAGTTCTAAAGTAACTGTAGCACAATCATTGTAACTATTCGGACTTCAAATTTTCAAAATAAAGTATCACGGTGATCAGGGTTTCTCGTAATAGAACAGTATGTGTGGAAGAACAGTAAAATGTCCTGATTGGAGCTACGGTGTTATTCCTGTGCACTATATACAGGTATCTTCCCTTTATCCTCTCTACCTCCAGTCATGACAGCGAAAAATACTGTGAAACAATCAACTATTTAACTGTTTCAAGCTTGACATTTCAAAAATCTACGAGCAGAATCTCACAGATCTGCGGATATATATAAATTTACATAGAAGATATAAGCACTTTTCTAATACAAGCACTCATATATCTGTTCATTTTATAAAATCGAGCTATTTTTAATGTACAAAAAAACACACTTCAATATATTTTTTTGCATAATTTAAATTTTATTACTCTGTGAAAAATACTATTTACATCCAGTGGTCCCTAAGATAACAGCTAAAACATGTTTAACCATTCTTAATTTAAGTTTTTATCACTAAATTTTATGTTCCTTAGATTGCCGTATGATCTCATTGATGCGCAAAAATAAATACAAAATCAAATATCTGAGATCTAGAATTTAAATTAACTCTCGTTTTAAATTCAAAATGGCATCTGTTTGAACTTGCAATTGGTATCATTCAAAAATCTCAAAACTTGAGTTTTTTTAAAACATCTTATTCTCAAATGGGCAACGTCCTGAAGAAGTACATATATTTTTTGACTCAGATTTTACCAAAATATGATAAAGATACACGAAAAAAGTACAAAAATGCAAAAGTTAAAAAGTTCAGAAGAGGAACATATGTGTGTATCACAAAAGAACATATGTCCACACTGGAATATTTCTAGAGTTGCCAAGATGTTTAACCATTATGAACTCAGATTTTATGTAATAGTCATTATTTTTACCTCTGATACGAGGAGTCGATTACAGATGTTATAATCGATCAGGCAATGGTAACATGTGTCCCTTTTCATTATCACTAGCTGTCTCTTTAATTTAGTACAAAACAACAAAATTAAAAAGCAAATTATCACATCTAAGTTTGAGTTCCAAAAAAATCGACATTCATGTTGTTTCATAATTGGCAGGTGGAAATCTGTCAAATAGGAAATTCAAGCGAAGGAAAAATTGACCAAATTATGTCAAAAATTTAAAGTTTGTGGAAACTCTGCCGAATAAGATTGCCACAATAAAGGATAAGAGAAAAGGAAATAAATAGAAGAAACATCAAAAAACAGCATTAAGAAAGAGGTATAAATAAAGGAAGGAAACATTTCACTACACAGTGTGTCAAACTGAGTAAAACTCATATTCAACTCTAAAAGCTTACAGTTTTTAAGTTTTTACAGACATTTTTGTTCGTGCGGTAACTTATTCCGAAGATGATGTTTCAACACAACTGGTATTAAAATTACACACGTGTGCACCTTTTTAACCCAGTTTGAAGGTATGCGAAAAGGTTCTTATTTTCTGCACAAAACTTGTCAAGATCAGCATATACCCATCAGTGACCTTTTCAACTTTCTGAATGAAGCTCCATGCGTAGGAAAAATGTATTGATACGTTTACACATATCAGACAGAAACTTCTTGTCAATTAATTCCCTATCATTTCTCTGGAATCTACCTCATATTTGAACAGCATTTTTGAGACTTATCTTATTTTCAAGCTATTTAAAACACAAGAGATGGAACTACAAATGTGTGACTGGATCATTTGACAGTGTATGAATAAGACGTTGCTACTTTAAATTCTTTTTGACGAATGAGCCAAAAAGTTTGAGCATAAAACACTGAGAAAAAAGCACCGATGAGAAAGCACAATCAACATTAATTGAAACTCAGAATTCGAATGAATGGTTAACACCATCATGCATTATTTTTTATTCTACGAATGTTAAAGTAGTCACTCACATGTAAATTATGCGATGAGTTTTAAACTTCTCATTGGTTGCAATTTTTTTTTTTTTTTTGTTTTGTTTGAATAAGAACTACTGAGGGATTTTTGCAATTTTGATATTACATGAAACAACACTGAGCCCCATTGCTCCACGATATAAAACAGACCAAAAAAGTAGTATTTTAGAAACGTATTCAATAGAACTTGCCAAGTGTCATGAAGGAACGTTCATTGAAAAAGTAATCAAATTCGAGTAGGCTTCAGGGTAACATTGAAAGAATATTCATTCTCAATTTGAAAGTAGTTCTAAAAGTGTAAAGTTCAGAAGGAACTTCAGTTTAAGCAACTTTACTAGGCATTTTCCCATTTTCGATGACTTTCCTTAGTGCAATATCCGGGTGAAATCCATTTTCAATTTTTTCATTCGATTTTTTATAAAATCCGTTTTCAATTTTCTCCGTTGACCCATTGCTCTTACAAAATCCGTTTTCGATTTTATTTGTTGTTCCATTCTCAGTAACTTTTCCATTTGCAACTTTTCCATTCGAAATTTTCATGTCTTCAGGTTTTTTATTCATGTAAGCTTTTTTGTAGAAATCGAAAAACAGAAGGAATAAGAATCCGTTTTGCGGAATCATGACCAGGGGCACCCATCTGGGATAGTCGCACTTCGGCTGAATCAAGAGGAGGGAAGAGTGAAAGGCAATCATGAAGAATTGGACCTGGAAAAGTAAGGAAAAAGAAACATTATTATAACTGCAAATAAAAATAACTTGAAAGATTCATTATCTCGTGGCATTATTGTAACTCTCGGGGCTGAGCCTTTAACCGTTGATCTGTACAGTTTGTCGCAGGATTAAGCACGAATATTGAAGGAGTCGATTTTTTGGGTCAAAAAAAGACGTTTTAGTGGCGTAACGTTTTTTTCCAAAAACGCTTTTCCCGGGGGTCCCGTTATCCCACCTTCCCTGCGCCCCCCCCCCCCATTATCCTCTATTAGTTCCTATATCTCGAAAACGACGAGCCATAGAAAAAACGCAAGATACATTTTCTCAATATTGTTCAAGGCTAAATATAGTGGTTTCGTCAAACATCAATCAATATATAATAATAATAATTAACATTAATTTTGACCGATTTTAGATTCGATACCCCCCCCCCCCAATGAGTTTTTCCTTTTTTTGAGGTCAAAAAGAGCGCTAAAAATTACCCCGGTTACCAATTTTTACAAAAGATGGTTGATAAACATTGTCACAGTGTTAAAGAGACGATCTTCCTCCAACTTTGGGGTACCGTGCCCCCCAGGGAAAGCGTTTTTGGAAAAAAAGTTATACCTCAAACACGTCTTCTTTTTAACCCTGAGAATTGACTCCTTCAATATTCGCACTTAATCCTGGGATACCCTGTATTTTTGCTAACTGTTGTGAAACGTTTCGAAAATTTGTTTAGCAAACAAATCGATGTTTGGATAACCTATTGAACGCAATGCATCACCCGAGGCTCATCAACCAACAAGATGGTGCCGACAACAAGGTGCCTTTTGTGCTGGTTACACGCTCAAATGCCCATCAATTTCCGATCAAATGATGACTGGTGCGCACCATCTACCATCAAATGTCTGCGGCCTGCAAAAATTTGATGGTAGATGATGGAACTGTGGGGCTCATCCTTCATCTGATTTCCACACAACCGTGCTTATTTCATGCTTATTTCAATCAACACGCTCTTTTAATTAATTTTACTCATCAATCTAGATAACTCTCGACCGTCATCTTGGTCATCATTTTGACCGGAATTTGACGAAAATTTGAACGTGTAACCAGGCTATCAGTGTCAAATGGCTGTTGCTGTTGTACAAGTATCCATACAGAAAAGTCGTATTCAGAAAATTACAGAAAAGTACCTATAGTATACCAATCCTAATCATGGAAATTTTTTCGATCAAACGACCAAATTCGTCCGGTTACCGAATGAAAATCTTATTTGTTTGTTTTGCGTCTAAAGGGGGAGGAAAAATATTATTGTACAGAACGTTAACATGGTGCCAGTCCTATGCTCATTTCCCAAAAACGGTATTGTGCAAAATGTTCACATGGGGCCAGTTCTTCAGTCCTATGCTCATTTTCTGCCAGTTCCCCGGAAAGTTGATTTTTTAAAGGAGGGAATCTAGTAGATCCGTCGGGACTTTTAATGGCTGGAAGTGCTCCAAGTTCTTTACCCAAATAAGTGAAGGATGTTAGAGGCACAGACTCTGAATTTATTTTGATTCTCAAATTCTCAAAATCAATTGGTTTGAGATGTGAAATCAATAGGTCACCGACAAAATTGGATTTTTGAAAACCTCTTCATATGCAGCACGTGTTTTTCGTGCCAAATGATTCTTATATGCCGGTGCAATTAGGTTCACGGCCTTCCAAAATTCAAATAAAAATAAATTCATTTTTAAGTTTATAGTGCTTATAAGAAAATTTCAAAGCAATATTAGATTCTTGTATGAAAAACTATAGTTTCACCTTAAACAAGAAGCTTATTTTAATTGCGCTGAGTGTAGAGATGACCCTCGTATTTTGATGGCCCTGGTAAAAATTGGCAGTAGAATCTGTGCTCCAAAATACCATAGACCTAAAGCCGGCTCTAAGATTTCCAATAGCTTCTATAGCCGGCTGCACAATTTCTTATAGCCTTTTATAGCCGATGGCGATTGAGCAGCAGCCAGGCGATAAAGTGTATGCTACATGTTACTAATTACGGATGCTAGGACTCAGTGAGTTTTTGAACTACCGCTCTATTTTTGGGCCGTAATATCTTGATTTATTTTGCGCGGAAAGCTCCGTACTTTTGAAGGATGCCTGCCATTCCTAATATGTTGGAGCGCTTTCAATTTCGTATGATACTGTGCAATACCTCTGGTGTGAAATAGTTGCTTCAAGCGCCGTGGCACGCTGCGGCGCGGCGGGCGGGCAGAGAGCGCGAAAAGCGCCTTAGCGCCTACAAACCTAACAGGGATACTTCACGCATTGCGCCATGCGTGAAGTATCCCAGTTAGGTTTGTAGGCGCTGGTGCGCGCGTATCGCTGGCAGCACGCCGCTCCGCTCTGTGTTATGCTCCAATATAAACTTGCGGAGTCAGCGTTTTTCAACTCATGATTTTGAAATGTTTGCACATCCTGTATGGATTATTCTCATTTTAATTGATGAAAAAAATATGTATTAAAGGAAAATATAATGTGCGTTTTGTGAATATTATGTTGGCTCCGTATCAAACTTAATGATTCCCAAAGCACACGAATTTCAACACAATTTCTTATAGCCTTTTATAGCCGCCCTAGTGTAAATATTACCTTGCGGTGAGCTAACCATCACCTTGCGGCAAGGTATCGGCCTTGCCGCCCTCTCCGAGCCCTATCCGAGCCCTCACCGAGCTAGTTCATGGAACTCGACGACCGGGAATAAAACCGTATGACAACACTGTAGACCCAAATCCAGACGCAGGGCGCGAAGAAGGCGACACAGCATCGGGAAATACCCCGTGTTGGGTATACGTATTTCGTCTCCGGCGTTGCCATGCATAATTATTCCCAGTCGTTAAGTTCCACGAACTGACCCGGCGAGGCCTCGGATAGGGCTCGGAGAGGGTGGCAAGGCCGATACCTTGCCGCAAGGTGATGGTGAGCTCACCGCAAGGTAATATTTTCTCTAGGGCGATGGCGATAAAGTATAAAGCCCGGCGATAGGAACTATAGCCCAGCTGCACACTTTTTTATCGCTTCGTATAGCCCGGCTATATGATTTGCTCCGCTTTCTACAGCCAGCTATATGATTTTCTATTGCCTTCTTTGACCGGCTATAAGAATTTCTATGGTATTTTGAAACGCAGCTCCTATCGCCAATTTTTACCAGGGGGGGTACATAGTACATAGCATCTTTCCAACTCGTAATTGCAGCTTCTTTAAAAGTGACCAGAATCGAGATGATTTTATAAGTTTGCAGCGATGCACCAATTCTATAAATCATTCCCATGCGCTGTTTTTTTCTCATGCGTTTTTGTGAATATTTTCTTACTTACCATTTGCAGTTGAGTCAGATATTTCTTCCACCAGATATTGTTTTTCTGTTCAGGTTTAACGATTGTTACCAAGTAGTAAGTATACATAATAATGTGCACAATAGAATTTATAAGTCCTAGGAAAGTTTCATGGCCACCTTTAAAAAAAGAAAAGTGAGACATTTAAAAAATGTAACAACTATCCAAAAGCATTCAATTGAATATTGATATATTTCATTTTTTTTTCCAGGAAAACGAACTGGATAAAGTCGAAAATCTAGGAGATCCAATATTAGAGGCATCATTCCATTAGATAGATAGATAATTAGATACATTAGATGGCTAGAGACATGATTGCATCACCTAGAGGATGTAGAGTTTTTATGCAATATTTGAAACGAAATATGTATTTCTTAAAATTATTTTACATCAGTGAGAGTAAAAATCTGTAACTCCAGTCGTGGTGTATCAGAATGGCTAAATGGAGACAATTATAGATAGATGGCTAATCAATTGACTGAATGGAACAGAATGGACCAAGTCACATTTTGGTGAAACAAAGTTTGGAGTAGTGTTGAGCCTGACATGTCACACATTTTCTCCTCTAAAATACCGAAAATCGAGAAAAATTATCTGAAAGGTATTAAAAATAAGCACTGACCTACATGAAATTTGAGTCGCATGGTGTAATAGAACCTCACATCTCTTTTTCTTGATTTGATCTTAATCCACGGCGAGGCGTAAATGATCAATTTACGATTTTGCCCCATTTGAAACTATGTTAAAGAATCGATTACTAGGGTGTTCGTTGCGAACACCCCATTCATCGATACTTTTCCATAGGTTTAAATGGTGGATCAATCGATACATCGCACAGCAGGCCACGCCGCTGATCTGAATGTGACTTTGTCCCTCGGCCGCAATTCCGCTGATTCTAATTTTTCTTGGCTGCTATTATAAATAGTATTCTAACGTTTATTGATTGTAATTCCGTTTGCACTGACATGTTTCCTGAATTTTATTGAGGTGCATTCTCATGGTGAAAGGCAAGATAGTGCCTGAGTCCCATAGAATGCCTGTGCCATAACTTTTGCAAAATTATGCTCGAAAAAACACGGACGAGACCAAGACAGAAAGAAATAAGCAGGTAGAAAGTAACACATACTGGTGTCTTACGACGTATGAAATCAATAAGTCTTCACATATTTTTGCTTAGGGTAAGATTTGCGGATTTTCAATCTTCTGAGCCATGTCTAATTGTAAGCATCTACCAGGTAGTTAGTGAAAATATTAAGAGATGGAGTATTCTACAAAATTTGTCGCTTAGACAACCAATTCCATTTTTCATATCTTCATTTTTACACTAACTGTTCTCTTCGGTGTCTCGGCAGACATATGATACGGTATTTTTTTAGCCTATGAGAAAGTAGAAAACGTACCTGGAAGCCACTTCGTAGCACTCCATGTGAGCATGACCATACCGGTGTGATGATATACATGGAGGAATGAAACTTGACCATTCTTTTTTCTTAATACGAAAAATACCTGGACAAAAAACATACAACCATCGATAAAACATACCATTGACCTTCACTGAACGTGGAGATGTATCAAGTTCTGTTGTCACGTCTGCTTCTTCACTCTAATGCTTCTTTAGATTTCCTAGAGATTTTCTCTGATTATCTAAATGATTTTAAAGTGATACAACAACTTGAGATTCAAGCACGCTTTAAGTAAAAATATCAGCGATATCGCAAATCTGCTGTGAAAATAGTCTCGTCATGTACGCTTATATGGTAGCAAAAGTGAATATGGAAATATGACGAATTGGCGCAACCTAACCGTATTTTAAAAGGCTCAAATAAAAAAATAACACTAAAAAAATTGGAGAGGTGCTTCCTCGATAGATTCATTGAGATATTTTTTTTTTTAACTGTGAAGAATATCGCCCATCCTATTTCCTAATCCTCACTCTCGTGGTATCTATGCACCAGTCGAAATTTAGCCTCCGGTGTGAATTAGTTATTCATCTAGCCGTTGTCCAGGAAGGACAGACTTATTTCCTCTCCTTCGATTTTTGAGGCATTTTTTTCGCGTTGAAAGATCCCCTCTCCCCTTATTTTTTATGAATTAGTTCTTTAAGTTTGGTAGATCCATGAAGATTTCATGGCACCGTTATGCATAGAAACGTTCAATCTATTAGCTCATCTACAGTTAGTCCAATGTCTACGAGGCTCTCTTAGATAAACAAACAAAAAATGACAGCAGAAACAAAGGCGCTTTATTTTGAAACTAGGAAATCACTCTCAAAAACACCGTAAACATACGTTTGCTCGAAGTTGGCGATCGATGTTCGATGATATGGCCTAGCACACGCTGTGAATGGATGAATTTATTTCCACTGTCTGTATGAGGATATTTGAAGACGCTATTCGCACTATTTGCAATTTTAAACTAAACTAGGTACTTATACCGATCACTCCGCGGTCCAATCTCCCAAAGCGCTTCGCGCTACACTGTCTTGCTGAGGAAAAACGCTGTATGAGCCTTCAGGCGTTGCCACATTTCCTCTAATAAAGTACAAATTTCCCATGGAAGTTGAGAGTATTTTTCTTCCATTTTTTCGGACAATATTGTTTGCACTTTAATCTAACACATCTAAAAATTTCAAGGAAAAACATGCATAACTTTCCTCCAAAACGAACATTTTATCGGAGGAAATTCGGCAACTCTCGAATTTTCATACGGCGTTCTTCCTTAGCACGGCAGTACAAGCGTTACGCGTTACGCGTTAATCATATGACTTTATATTTACATAATACATTTTTAAGCGGTGACGTGGTGCACAGTCCCAATTTTGGTGTAAAATAGGAAAAAAAGCTCAGATTCCTCACATCGTATTAGTTCAAGTTGACATGAAGTTAAATCATGGACTGAGAGGTTTCATTGATTTTTCAAAAGTAAATAAATATACTCTATAATAAATTTATAAAATCTTGAAAGGCTGCTATTAGTAATACCAATATGAATTTCCTCGCCCCTTATAAACATACGCATGCATGTTTACAGACTGACATGTAGCGATAATTGGATGAGATTTTAAAGCGAGAAGCTGAGGTAGAGGGGTTACGCGTTTGAGGAGCAAGGACAAGGAAAACACCTGGGTATTGTTGTGGATGTTCTAGTGAGTAATGCCGTCAAGAATTTTAATATTTAAATTACTCTGCTTAGTCTGTGAATGTAATCTTCTCTTGTTCACAGGTTTAACCTTTTATAAGTGCACACTCACAGTGCAAGTTAATCATGATTCATATCAAAGTAATGCAAGTGCAAGGACGAGACTTGTACCTTTTAATAAAAACTCGATTCAGGAGTAAAACAAAAAAAAATTTAATAGCACACGCTGCTTGAAGGAAAATTTCGTGAATTGTTGGGTGGTTCAACAATCATTAATTTCCTTATCGATGGCGTCAGTCGGCAATCACATAACTCGGTTTGTGACGTCGCAGACTTCCCGTCATACTTTATTTTTCAAACGGAAAACCACTTAACGGCAATTATTTAAAACTGCCGTGATTTTTCGTCTGTGCGAAGGAAATTCTGCAAAAACTTCATGGAATGATTTCAATTTGTTCTCCTTTAAAAAAATAACATAGAGGCGGAGATTTTCAGACATCGCAAACGAGATATGTGATTGCGGACTTATGGACTTATGATTGCCGTCGTTATGTTTGTACATCCATTCGATTAAGTTTTCCAATGCTTCGCTCCTTCCTCTGTCCTCCAGAAAGTAGAGAGTGTGTTTACATCGTTAAATTTTAAGTTACGGATTGAAGGTTTTGTCTAAAAAGTCAATAACCATACGGTTAAGATACGAGATATAAGTTTTACAATGGCCCCCCTGTAAGTTACTTTACATAATTGTCTATTCCCAAAAAACATACGATAATTAACTATTATCAAGGCTATCAGAGTAATTTGAATTTGGTGGTCCTTACGCAAAAATTATCGATAAAGAAACCATAAATTGAACGAGCCACGGGTTTTGGTAATTTTCCTCTTCCCCCTCCCTCTCTGGCCATCATTCATTGATTAGTTGCGTGTCGAACTCATAAATTATATGATCTACTGCAGTTTTAACGAATTGCATATTCATTTTATAAATATACTTTAATGATAGTCGTTCTCCATCAACCGAAGCATAAATATAGCGAATTCATTTCTTAACGCGTCATTTAAAGGCAGTGGCGTGGCGTGCTTTGCGATATATCGATTGATCTGCCATTTAAACCTAAGGAAAAGGACCGATAAACAGGGTGTTCGCAACGCACACCTTGATAATCGATTCTTTACCACAACTTCAAATGGGGATAAATCGATAGTCAATCATTCACGCCTCGCCACTGTGTAAAAGATATTCTAAATCTGGTCACAGTCCAGTTTTTGCCCGTCGTGACGCCTTGACCGCCGTGGACACAAAAAATGCTACGTCTGGTTCTCTCACCTACTTCATTGCAGATCTATTACTGATTTATGTCGGGTTCATAAACGACCCATAACGTTGCGGTAGTGGCGTGGCGTTAATGATCGATTATCGATATTTTCCCATTTGAGGCTGTGGTGAAGAATCGACTATTAAAGAGGTCTTTGCGAACACCCTGTTTATCGATCCTTCCCCATAGGTTTAAATGACAGTGCAATCGATTGTTGAAAAGCACGCCACGCCACAGATTGCAAGGACAATGAAATGGGACAAAAAAAAGGACAATGACCTATCATAACTCTTAATGCCAAGGTCGCGTTAAGGCGCAATATTGCTGTTTGACGCATCCTATCAATAAACTCGTACTGCGGGTGTCAAACTCGAAACGTAAAAACCGTAAGAATGTGCCAATTCAGCAGAGAGTCAAACACAGTATATACATATAATTACTAACCCTGTTACGTGTGTTATTTTAAAATCGTAAGACGAACTCGCATTCCTGAATTATACTTCAGTAGAACCCAAAGAAAATTCTCATACCGTCTTTAGGGTGAAATGTTGTGAGCATAAGCCACAAGCATCACATCTGAGCTATGATACTCATTCATTAAACAATTTTTTCGGTATCGATTTTTTGTTTTGTTTCATCGTCAGCTCATGATTCGCTCTAGAGAAGAACGAATGTCCCGCGGGAAGCCAGTTTTAATACTTTTTTCGAGAATACTTCCGATTATGATTTATTTATTTTGAAATTCAATTTTAATCTAATCAAGTTAAGTGTTTTAAAATTTTCATTAAATCTATCTTATTCAATCGTAAATTTTGTTGATTAGAATCCAGTTGTAGCTAACTGATTAAATGTTAGTATGTGTGTAAAGTACTTGGCTTACGATTCTCTTCAAGTTGCGTACATTAAGATGGCATCTGCGGAATAAGGGACTATAATCAAGTTTTCCTCTTAAGTAAGCGGTTTAATTTGGAAGTTCAATATTTGCTAGTTTTGGAAGATTTACAAAATAACTGACTAATTTTTCTCATTCAGAGAAGTTAAAAGAAGAGAACAGGAAGGATCTAGTTGTAGTTTAAAGTTGCTGACTTTTAATCAGGAATATATGTATTCGCTTATAAGTACGGTAGAAAGTTTCCTTTGTGAAATTTTTGTAAATTCTTTGTGATCCGACGATATTATTTCCAGAAGTTCACTAAATCAAACACACCTTTATTCACAAATGAAGAAATACGGTCGGATGAGAAACTTTCCATCGTCGGAATGCAATCGAATTCCTCTACTCCTAACTGCTCTAAATAGTGAGTATAGGATTGAATCAAGCAACCATTTGCACTTCGAAGTAAGTTTGTGGTATTCAGAGGAAATGAAGGCGATTTTGAAACTAAGAGGATATAGACTTGCTGTTCTTTCAAATGAAGAGCATCAGCATTTATGTTTTTTTATATACCCCCGTCTCTTTCCGTGTGATTTCTCCTCCAGCCTCTCCTAATAATTATACAAACTCAACCGAAAATGTTTGATGACAGGACTTTGTGCCACCATTGAGATGTTTTAAAGCAAAAATTAATCAACATATTTATAAGTTCCAAAACGAGAAGTTTACTTACTGTGTCTAACAAATCTGAAACTTTGAGCAAAAAGTAGCCGTACACGACTCGAGCAACCTGTAAAGTAATGCAAAATTCATGAAATGTTATAGATAAAAGCTGTTTTTTTATAAAAAAAAGAAGAAAATAACTCGTTATTATTTCTGAAAATTTTTTCATTCTTATTCACCTTGTCACAGTTAATTAGTAAAAACTTTAAGCCATGACAAAAGTCAAATTTTCTATAAAAAAGAAATATACGCGGAGATTTTCATGCATATTAAAATTGTATTGCGTGTTTCTAAAATTTAGTCATTGCCCTGTTTTGAGCAACACTATACCTGAATGTTTCGTAAATTCATAAAATTTTTAGTTCCAAAAATGTCAACTTGTGTCAATCGGAAAAAATTAAATAAAATAAATAAATTTAAATTTAAAAAATTATACATTCTGGAAAATGTGTAAAAAAATATCACAGAAATCCATATTGAATTATGACAAACCTCAGGGGCGAAAATATCGATACTTTGAAATTGACTGATTATGACATTAAGAATGACTGCAAAATAATTCGATATTTTTTGTCCGTCTCCAACATTTATACATGCAGTGAATGCTGAGAGTTTACGTCGAAACTCGGCAATGATGGGGAACTTTAATATGCGCGTAATTCGCCCTCCGCAAACAACTTCTCTTCTCTACTGAATGCCGTATTTTTAAGTCAATGACAGGTGAAATTTGTACAGCATTGTTTTACATTAAGTTGAGAGTAAATCGGCAATTTATCTGAGGAATCTTAATTTTTGTTTTCCTCAAGTAGCCTTATTCGTGGACACGCGAATTACATCTGTTTCCTTGACGAACACATGTAAGTAAGCATTTTTGACACACATTTTAATGAATGCGTCAGTTTCGGAGGTGTATGATGCTGTTTTCTTCTTCAGGCAAACTTGCTGTCAATTCAATTCATCATTTTTTCATTCAGTTCCTTCTCTTTCATTTATTGAAAAATGCGCGGAAAAGTTATATTTCAATATAATATATCGTTGCAAAATTTCTTTCTACGGACAAGTGGTAAATATTTTTTCTCATAAAAAAATAATGATTATTTAAAACGAAAACCTCGTAAGGCTCACCGTAATGTTCTCTGGCGTTGGGGCTCTATCAAAAGGCTCACAGATCCAGTTATACCTTCCGCCCCATCCATGTTTGAGGCACTGAAACAAAATTAATTAATTGTGAGCACATGCTGTAATTATGAAATATTGTATTCTATGATATTTCAATTGGCAATTGAAAAACAAAATTATGCTCTTCATTGGCCCCATCATCAGAACACCGAGGAGTTTTGACACCGTCCAATTTATATTATAAGGGGCTGATTACCTTAAAAAATATATATCTTTTTTCTAAGATTTTACGTAAATTCAACGACTGGTAGCAGAGCCCTTCCTGTAAGAATCAGCACCTTAATCAGGGATGGATCTAACTTTGAGCTCCCTGGTGTCGATTCAGGTTAGAGTTTTACGTACCTCCTGATTTTGAGAGAATAATTTTGAAGTTTTGCAAAGAACTGCAATTTTTAAATCAAGACCCCTTTTACCTACTTCTCCAAAGGACCGTGGTCCAGAGGGCCCTGGAATGATGAAATTACGATACCTTTGGGTCGATTTACTGTTTACACCCAAGGCTCTCGATCTATAGTCAAACCTGAAAAAACTGAGAAGAATCCCTGTGCGCGTGGATTCGACACCCTGTGTTAGGAAGTAAGAAATTATAAGAATGATGTTGAGCATGATGAGAGCATAGCACAACATCAATCAATTTCACAGGGTGGAGACAGCGCCGGATTAAGGGGGTGGCCACATGGGCCACGGCCCGTGGCAGAAAAATGTAGGAAACGGAAAATTTTGCAATCTTTTTGACTGTAGGCATCAAAAAAAGAGAGAATAAATCGGATTCAGAAAATAAATTACAAACGAGGAAAGGCGGCAAAATCTCTCATTTTCTGAGAGTAAAAGTATAGTAATTTCTAATTTTGTCGTCTCTCGGTGATACAATACACAACACCTTTAATTAGTCGAGTTAAGAGAGAAACCAAACACGCAATTTGACCTGGAACGGAGCGGCTTGGCGGTCGGCATGAAGCGCACAGTGCCTACAAGACTGCATGAATACTTCACGCGTTGCATCAAACACACTGCGGTCAGCAGCAGTCGGCTTGAAATGCATAGCGCCTACAAGACTGCATGAATACTTCACGCATTGCGCCAACACAGTGCGGTTGGCGCAGCGCCGGAAGTTAAAATTATTATTCACACTTATGTTTGTTCTTTCATAATTTTTTCGTTCGTTTGGAAGGCCTTGTCCAAACAGGAATGGGTTTATGGAACTGAACTTTTGTTAGTGTTGACAGGGCTTTTAAAAAAAATGTGCCCAACGCGAGTAAACGCGTCTCATACACCCCTCCCTCACCGGCACGTTCATTTGATGGTTTTTATAGATCGTATTCGGCAGATCACACAGGTGAGATTACACTGATATCGATTGGTTCAATATGTAACCACAGCCTCAAAAGTCAACTTAGAAATCTGAGGTAACGGGTCTTATGTGATCGAATTTTTATTCTCTCGAGTGCCAAATGGCAACGGAAAGTGAAATTGTTAGGAATTTTATCATTTTCAGCTTTTCCAAATTAAATCTTAAAATTTTTGTTTGAGGTTATGTATTCTATTGTTTTGAACCGAACGATACAGCGAACCACTGTCGAATACGATCTATTGATGTTTCAAAACGAATGAGGAGGGGGCGGAAAAATACAGGCGGCCCATGGGCGGCAAGTAGGTAAATCCGGCCTTGGATGGAGAAGCCACATGATACCTATCTCATTTACATATTTTGAGGAGCCGAATAGTTGCAGTAAAAGAGTTGACTTTTGAAGTCAATATGGATGGCCAAAATATTATTTTTAGGAGTTTCAAATTTTTGCTCTCTTTATTCTCTCTCCCACGAATAATCGTCCAGGAGAACAGGAGAAACATAGCCCCATGTAGTGGAGGAGTTCAAAAGTTCCACCTCCCGCCTCCTCCTTCCAGAAAAAAACCGAGCTCAAGAACCAAATTTCAATTTCTTAAGTTGCTTTCGTTCAAAAATATTCAGGAATCCCAAATAATCTCATTAGACACTCCTGTTAGCACATAATTTCCACGGATTTAACAGAGCCCTCGTAAAAATATCATCCTCGCTGTGCTATTGTCTTTCGTATGCGTTAATTCCTTCCAAGACATTTCCAACAATTTTTCGATCTAATCATAAAGCTAGAAATTAAAATTCGGAAAATAGTTATTTTGCTTACCTCATATAAACATAATATATTTGCTAGAATTTGTACAACGTTAAATACGATTAGAACTCCATCTAATTTAAATGGCTTCCTATCTTTCATAAGCCGTGGACCTAAGCTCTGTACAAAGTAATTGTAAAATACTAATAAGCCTAATGTTGGCCATGGAGAGCTCATCAAAGGCCAGTCTTTCGTCCTCTCATCTGTAGAGAAAAACAAAAAAAATTATCAGATTTGCAAGTGGTAATTACTGCGTATACACTCACGTGCATTACGTGCATAGTTTTAAATGTATATGATACTCTTGGTACACGGAGAAAAAAACTTCGTGCATGAGACCCGAAGTTGAGGTCATATGGATCTCAGAAGTTTTCGGATCTCGCATTCGAAAACTTGAGGTCCAGCTGCCGAGGTTCGGGTCAGACATCTGAAGTACTTAAGTACATACCAAAGGGTTTGCGGTACGTACCTAAGTACTTCAGATGTCTGACCCGAACTTCGGCAGTTGGGCCTCAAGTTTTTGGATGCGTGATCCGAAAACTTCAGAGATCTATATGATCTCAACTTCGGGTCCCATGCACGAAGTTTTTTTCTCCGTGTATTATGAGACAAAACACTGTAAAGTACTAGGCAGAGCAGATATCTATCTTTGGCTACAGAATATATTCCTATTGAAAAGGTAACATAAGATTGTGATAGGGATATTATTGCAATTTCAAATAGGAATTTGCTTTTGCCCGTTGTTTGAATTGGCACAATGTATGTAGTATGTCATATATATCAATGACATTAAGAGTTTTAACCACTGACCGGCATTATCAATCTAAAGCACATTCATTGAACATATTACATACGGCAACATTATATTTTTGCAATTTTATTAATATTCATTTACATTGAATGGTTTTAGGAACAATATAATGATAGGCCGAGAAGCTGCACAGTGCGCAATAGAACACGTCGAGGCGGGTCGAGGACGTATAAATCTGACTTTAAGGCACGGCTACGACAAACCCCATATCATTAATGCTCCTTTAAGGTCTAATTTGCACCAATATCAAATGCTTTCAGTGCTATAGAAAGCCAAAGAAAATTTTCCTCTTTAAGAAAGTTTAAAGATGAATGAGTAAGACGGATCGCAGTGGCCTGGCGTGCTTTGCGATCTATCGATATTTCCCCATTTGAAGCTGCGGTAAATAATCGATTATTAAGGTGTTCGCTGCGAACACCCTGTTTTTCGATGCTTTTCCATAGGTTTAAATGGCCCATCAATCAATATATAGAAAAACACGCCACGTCAATGACGGATCGTCCCATTTTCCTCGTTCAATTCATGATCGGCAGTGGTCATGAGCCTTCGTACTCACGGCAAGAGTACATAGAATTTAAAACTGAATCCGTGAAAACAATAATGTGAAAAAACCATGTTCATTCGTAAGATGGAAATGTTTCTAATTTGCAATCCATAATTTCACAGGAAAATAGCTCTCATGTGATAGTAACATCTATCGCCTCAAAGTCAAGCGGTCTCTCGTACGGGTCCACCTGTCCATTCCTTTTCGTCTAGATTAAAGACCCAAATTTTGATGCAATCTTTTTAGAATAGAAATGAAATACGATTTATCTAAGAGACCCCATTCACTCTCAAGTGATACAGTTATAAGAAATTAAACTGTAAATTACGATATTTACCCTGGAGGTCGACATTTAGCCAGTGATAAGTTTGGTATACCCTTCCTAGGATTGCTGCCATTTTCTTTCACTACCACCAGCAGCATTTAGCCGTGAGTTGATTAAAATGAAAACAGACAGGGCGACTGGAATGAAACAAAACAACAAATGGATAAGTTTTTCATCGAAATAAGAACAATAATACAGAGTGTACAGAATAGCGTTTTAGGCCCACTTGTTTCCGCGAGACAACCCCCGTCACCCCCCCCCCCCCCTCTTGCACCACCATTATGTGTGGTTACATATAACTATCATGGTACCCTCAAGTACAAGAGTTTATAAGTATAAAGAGCTCATTACCAATTTTAGGGACCAAAGAAACAAACCCGAAACATAATTGCCATAAACCTATGAACGAGTTTTTGGCCCATCGCCTTGGAGTGATAAAAGCCAAAAGACATTGTTTCATGTATGTGTGTGGGAATGCATTACAAACTGTGGCAGTAAAGTAAGAATGTGTCACTGAAACTCAATTTGCCGTTTTTGTCCGAAAACAATTACGTTCGAGATGAAAAATTAAAGAAAATTATATTCCAATTTGGCAACTGTGATTCATTATAAGTAAAACGTTGCCAATGGTTGGGGAAAACCTGCACAGAATACTAAATTTTCAGTTCACGATTGAAGAGATCTTGGATCCGGAAGGTATGGACTTTTCACGTTCGTGTCGGAAATGTCTCGAAATTTTATTGCTACTCTTTTTGTCCACCAGTCATTTCTGACTAATCAGAATCAATTAAAAGCGATAATTAGTGACCATAGGTCTAATTTGCATTATCGTTGCAAACTCACTTCGTACCGAAACGTTGTATCTCCCTGTTGTGGATTCTCTCCACTTGAATTCGAAAACAGGCAGAGCAGTGCCTGTTGCATTTTCTTATTATTTAGTTCCAGTGTTAGTAGGTGAGCAAAAATTTAATTTTGTGGATTTAAGTTCATTCAGGTTAAGTCAGTGTTTAAGTGTTCATGGGAGAGTCGCTGTGGTTTTTAGCTGTCATTGATCGTTCTTTTGTACTTAAGTTGAAATGATTGAACAGTCAAGTTCAGGCTGTGAAACCTTACTTCAATCTGGACACCTATTGTTTAGAACACACACTATGCACATACTCGCACAATAAAGCACAAAAACTTCAGAATATTTGCGTTTAATACTAGAGCATACTGATAGGATGTTTCAATAGAGAAATCAATGATGTGATCAAATATTGTAAAAATACACCTTATCCAATTTCAATATTTCTTACTATTTAAAATTGGTGATAAGATTACTTAGGTCCCCTCTCGCTTTAGAAATGAGGGTATTCATTTGGTTAGAAGCCAATTGTATGGAGTTTTAATTGCAAAAATTATGAGGAAGATGCTTTTAAGAAATTATTAAGAAATGAAGAAAATTGAGCAAAATGAACACCGAGATGACTCCATTTTTGATGGATTCAATTATTATATCTCTATATATTAATGTGATTCAATCCGTCTTAACATTCAATGAATTACCGGTGACCTACTGGTTTAAAAACCGTAATTTCAACTGCATTAAAATTGGATCTGTGCCAAGTGCGCTTTCACATTTCATGCATATGTATCCAATCCCTGGACCATTGACCTATTTCAATCCGACGAGAAAAAAAGAGAGAAATTAGGTTGCGGGCACCACAGTCCTTAAAAGCCCGGCTAAAGGGTCATTACCCGTTAAAATATTCACATAAGTAGATCAACTGAATGCTTTAAACTACTGTCTTAGCTGACTTTTGATTTTCAACTCCTCATTTACCTTGTTTTTACGAGGAAATAAATGAATCAAATAATTAAAATAAGTTAGTTTCATCGATGTTTTTTATCACGACTTATATTCCTTCAAAGTGCGACATCTTATTGTTTACATAAGTAGATAATTAGTTTTGTGTAAGTTTGAGATTCAACTGCTGCATTAGCAAACTGGTGAAGTCTCATGCAGGCTCTCTTCATTAAACTAACAAATGAGGATAAATTCCCAACAGGTTGAATGATTCTCTAAAGACTATCCGGTCTAAAATTTAAATCTCCCGATTATCTTAGCTAAAACTTTGCGGAAACTAATTCTAATGACTTTTCATCCTACCAAGGATATTGAAATAATATTAAAGTTAAGAAATAAGAATTGAAGGCATCTTATAAACACGAGAGGCAAGGTTAAGTACATAAAAGATTCTGCCGACGATAATTTCCTAAAACTTCGTTTTTAGATGATTCATCCTGCCTTCAAACATAAAGTGAGCACCCACTGGAAAATAATATGGTAGATTTTATCATACTGTGACTTAGTGATCCGAGTATGGTAATGAACACTAGACTCTATGATTGCATTTACCATATTATGGTAAGTATCACCACAGTTCTGGTCATATCGCTATAAATTTGAGTATATTTTCACCAAAAAGTATCACTGTGTACATATCAAGTATAGACTTTTTGTAACCTTTACCAAACTTTTTTCAGTGCAGCACAAAGGAGAGAACGGGAATAAAGTACACTTTTTTCTTCTTCTTTTTTCTTCTTCTTTTTTTTTTTTTTAAAAAAAAAACCTTAAAATTTTTTATACAGAAAATAATGTAGGGACAAGACGAGGATAGTTCCCGTGTTTCTATTTTAAAGAAATACCAGGTTAAAAATATATCAGCTGACGATTAATATTGTGTGTACACCTCAATCATAACACTTCTTTCGGTCGAGCGAAAAACTGGGTCAAATAAACGTCACTAGTTGAATCACAAAGAGCAAAGTATTTAAAACGTTAGAAATTTTAGAAAATCACTTTACTAACCGATGAAAAACGTTCCATTTCCAATGTCAAAATAATCCAAAGGATGAAACACAAGACCGAACACTATGAAAACTCCGCAAATGCGTGCAAGGACGGTCTACCGCACGGACTAGCTAGAGCACATGAATGAAGCGGTCGAGGTGGGAGGTTTTATATTAATACCGCCGAATATGCCGGGCTCTTTTTACGGCTGGACCAATCGACGACTGTAATTTTCCTGCTCGCTGCGGAAAAAATGAGATCCGAAGATTTCGCGCTCGGTGATCTCGGTGACTGGTTGGTGTTTGTCGAACCCGGGCGCACGTTGTTGGGGGACGAGATTTTATGGAAATCCGATTTCACTTCGAGTTTCATTATGCATCTCGCGGGTCGACCTTGGAGGTGGCCGTTTTTCGGGGATACCCCAACAGGTCGGGGATCAGACGACACGCGCCTCACCTCCGCGATTTTACGGCCGCCTTCGACGGGTTCAAGGTGAAAAAAGCGTTCAGGTGCGGGTTTCAAAAGCCCGCACCTGAGGTAAGTCCAGGACACATTCGGGACATAGGTGGGCCTAAGTCACTTGCTAGGGGGGGGGGGCTGGCTCCCCTACCACTGAGGAATCTAGGGGGTGTGGAATATCTCTCAGTCCAGAGGGGTCAAATTTTTGAAATTTTCACTCTATTTGGACGCATTTTGAGGCTTCCGTGATGAAAATTTTAGAAAATACCGAGTGAACGAACATGGCGATTTCAATTTAGACAGTACATTAAGAGAGATGATCATCTTCGACGATGGTCTTTTCCCACCATCCAGAATTTATGGGGGGGGGGGAGAGGCAGATGATACTATTTTCAATTTTAGGACAGGTCAGACCCCACGCCCCCCCTCTTCGTGCGACCATGATACGGGACTTGCGTAGGGATTGAGAAGGATCGCTGGTCATCGTTCTGATAAAACAAGTCATAAAGAAAGAATGATCTTGGCTTGAAATTCGTTCCAGGTATCACTGAAAAAAGTATCACAGTCTCAACTATACTCCTGGCTGAATTTGGTGCCAAATATAAACATAAGAGTAGTTGCACTAGCCAGAGTTATTGATCCAACCACACTTCGGCAGATTCAGCCGTAAATCTGACTGGTACAACTACTCTTGTTTCTGGCGCCAAAATCAGCCAAGGGTATAGGTGGGATTGTGATTCTTTTTTCCGTGCGATCTGAAGCAGTGCCAAGATTAATTGGATTGTTAATCCATCAACCATATCTAAATTTAAGTTTTTTTTAAAAATATTTTCCTCTTCAGAATAGATAATTAGCGAGCAATTTATTTTGCCGTACCTGAGAGCGCTTAAACGGCTGATTTCGCAGTGTTTTTTATTAATATTTTTCTGATTTGGGATGAAGAAGAGGTATAGATTTAAAAGATAGAATATGCAACTCCTAATGACGTCATCTGGCAGCGCTCCCTATTTAAACAAATGAATTTTAGCAGATTAGATCATTTTGTCATATCTCCTCCAATGATTGTTCAATTCATGGACCAAGGGTATTTCTATTTTCAAGTTCAATAGTTTTCACTTAAGCACAAAATTCATCAAATTTCAGACACCTGCCAATTCTTTATTCTATGAACCATTAAATGTTTTGCAATTTTATGTAAGTGAGACGTAATTGATAAAGGGCGTTTTGCCTTTTGAACTATGTAAATATTTAAATACTAGAAATATCCCTGTGTTGAGAGGAATATTACTTTTCGGTCCCCTAAAATTTTGAAGGAAAATATTTCTTAGCAGGCATAGAACTTAATCATTTTCTTTTTTTTTCAAATGAAAACTTCTACCTGTTAAAGTATCTTTGAAAAAGGCGGATAAAAGAAAAATACATACTCAAGACTTTCACAGTTAAAAAGCTAAAGTAAATTGCAATCTGGCGTATTCTTTTCTTTCACGATCAATTAATACGAATAATGAGTAAAATCTGTTCCGAAAGGGAAGTTTGAACTCCGCGAGAAAAGTAGATCCTTGCGCGTATTAATACCAGCCAGGTGTTTGGTTGCAGTATACGCTCTGGAGTGGAATGCACATGAAATGTCAAACTGAATGCCAAAACACTCACTTTTATGTTTTTTAACGATACATTTCGTATATGTTCCTCTTCATGGAACAAGGAAAACCTCTTCAGAAAAGGAGTGGCAAGGGGAGCTTAAAGAGTGATTATTTTTAATCGCAAATAATCGCAAAAATTCCATCTTTACTAAGTTGCTGAAAAAGTATTGGGGTGACGTACAACTTAAAGTAAAAGACCGCG